ACCGCTGGTGACTGCGGCGCGCGAGGAGAGACTATCCTGGGCGAAGCTGCAGGACGACCGCCTCCAGAGCACTGGCGACGAGGATGGCGCGGGCGTCGACGACGGCGCGGCCGAGAGCGCCGGCGGCCTGGGCACCGACCCCTCTGCGGCAAGTTTCGACCGAAGCGTGCACTCCACGCCCAGCGCGTATATCGCCCAACTGGTCGCTAATTTGCCGGAGGACCAGAGACTCACGCAGGACCAGACGCTCTTCGTCGCCAAGTTCGCCAAGGCCTGCGACGAAGCCTGGGAGGACGACGTGCAGAAGAAGCCCTGGAGCGAGAGAAAGGTGACGCACTTGCTCCTGCTGGGCCAGGGCGGCTCGGGGAAGACGCACGTCGTGCAGAAGGTCGTCTTCCCAGTGGTGGAATACGTGCGGCCCTCGCCGGCGCCGGACAGGGCCAGCATGATGGCCGTGGCTTTCTCGAACGCGCAGGCGAAGAACATCTCCACCGAGACTGTCAAAGCCAGAACGCTGCACAATGCCTGTGCCATGCGAGTTCAGAAGTACACCAACGCGAAGCTGCGGCCAGGGGGCATGCAGAAGAGGCTGAAGTGGTTGTGGGGGCACGTCCGCGTTCTTGCCATCGAGGAGATAAGCATGGTGGCAGCCGCGCTGTACAACGCGCTGGACCTTCGCGCCTGCCGCGGACGCAGTGACACGCACGACGTGCAGGAGTCGCACTACCAGCGGCCACGCCACCACTTCGGGCGCGTGCCCACCGCGTTGCACCTCGGCGATTTCCTGCAGCTGAAGCCCACCGGCAGCATTGGCCTCCTGACGGACGTGAACGAGCGCCTGGACGACGACGAGTCGTACAGGTACGCGGACCCGCCGACGGTGGAGATCCAGCACGCCATCAAGGTCTTCTCTCAGATCCCCTGCGTCTTCGAGCTGAAGGGCGCGAAGCGCTGCGAGCCCGGGGACCCTCTGATCACGTTCCTGGGCTGCATGCGCGAGGGCACGCCCTTCCCACCTGAGGTCTGGTCCGCCTGGGAGAAGACGTTGGCCACGGACAGCCAGGGCGTCCTGGGCCCTCGGCACCAGCGCGAGAACTTTCGGCTCGGCTACGGCATGGGCATATACTGGGAGACGCTGGCGAGGTGGATCAACACGCGCGCTCGTCGCGACGCTCGGCGTCTGGGCGTGCCCCTTGTTTTCCTGCAGGCCGTTGACGAGTGCGGCGCGATTCAGGGCGAGCCCGACGCGGGTCGGCGCCTCCTGAACGTCCCGAACATGCACAAGACGGGGGACATCCACGGCGTTTTGCCGGCCCACGTCGGCATGGAGGTGCGGTTCACGGCAGCGCAGGGGGAGCTGAAGAAGAAGTTGGGGCTCGTGCAGGAGCAGCGGGCCACCATCGTGTCCTTCGAGTTCCACCACGAGGGCGAGCAGCGCTACGAGGAGTGCTCGGCAGGCCAGCTCTTTCGCCCCCGCTTCCTACCGCAGGGAATCTGGCTGCAGGTGCACGGCTTCAAGGAGTCTCCGATCTACCAGGAGGTCGCCGAGGTGCTGCGACAGGGCGCCGACGGCGCCGACGACGACGGCCAGGCCGAGGCGCGGGCGCGGAGCTTGCTGATGTTCAGGCCCAGCGAAAGGGAGCTCACATGGCAGAGCTCGGGGGCGCACAGCGTGCGCCGCTCGGGGTTCACCCTGACGCACGCGCCCTACCTGACCTCCACGCTGTCGCAGGGCCAGACGCTGCGCAAGGGCGTCACCATCGACTGCGCGAGAGACGAGGACGCTGGCCGCACGGGCATGTCGGACGAGCAGTGGTGGCTGCACCTCTACGTCATGTTCTCCCGCGCCACGTGCATGCGGAACATGCTGATCCTGCGGCCGCCGCCGCGAGAGTTCCTGGAGTGCGGGCCGCCGGCGTCCCTGCGGAAGGCGCTCCTGGAGTTCGACAAGAGAGCGGTTTTGTCCAGGGCGGAGGCGAAGCAGCTCGCGGCAGAGCTGGGCTTCGTGCTGCCTTCCGCCTGAGCGCGGCTGCGCCTCGCTCGAAGCCCGCGGGGTTGTCCCAACGGCTTGGTCTTGCGCGCCAACGGCTCGCGGGGTTGTCCCGACAGCCTGGCCCGCGGGGTTGTCCCAACGGCTGCGCGACGTGACCAGTAGAGAACGCGCCTGTGCTGGCCGTGGCGGCGACGGCGCCGAGGAACATCGACATGCGCGCTCATGCAACAGGAAGGGGAGGAGGTGGCGGGGCGCGGAACAAACAGGGGGGCGAGGATGGGGACAACGTAAGGAGTGGAAGGGGGGCCCGCGCCAAGGCGAGAGGAAATATACGCAGAAGAGACAGCCAGGACGCCTCACCAACCACGAGGGCGACGGTGATGGCTTTTTCCAGATTCGCCCAGAGGATTCTTATGTGGGGTTCTTCCGTCGGAGTATGTTTTGTGTCTCTTCTACTGCGACTACTACTAATAATATTACCACTACTGCTACTATTCGTGCTACAAC